CTGATGATGATTCATTTTTCCAAGTTTGTTGAAACATCCTTGCCATTTTCTATATGAATAAAAGACTTTAGTTTCCTAAAAATAAATCCTCTGTACAATGTTAAAGGACTTGAATTTCTATTTGCTTAATTTTAGGTGACTCATTTCAGCTGAACAAATACAGTTCTAAAGTTGATTTTTTTTTTTTTTTTTTTTTTTTTTTAAATGTCTGAATCACTGTTGTTTATGTTCTTTTAGGGAGGAGCACCTTTTTCATGCTTGCCTTCATCTTACCAAATATTCTTTATGTATGCTTGTCTCTAAACTTATTTAGCTTTCTTCTTCTTTAATGCTATAATTTTACACTAGTAGACATATTTTGCATGGATTTATTTTATTTTAAAAAATCCAAGTTGGATACACACAGGAAAAAAACAATTTCTAAAAATCCTGCTCTTTCTTCCTTTTTTTTTTTTTATCCTCAAAAGGAAAAGTATCATATATGAATAATCATATAGCAAGTATTTTATTGAGATTAATTTTTGTTTTAGCATATTTAGTATATTGTTACATACCAATAGTTTTAAAATGATTTGAAAAAAATGGCTAGTTACAAAGTCATTTTGCATCATTATGAATAACATAATAACATCATAGGAAATGATTGGTATGGAATTATATATATGATTTTCTTTTACTTGTTTAAACTATTTTTATGTAAATTTAACAAAGTTGGATATATATATAAAATAAAATTTTTACCCTAGAGTAGAGTTTATCTTTATTTTACAATGTTATTTTTTTGTAATTGGTCTTCTGCAATATTTTGAGCTGTTATACACACTAATTTCATTTTGGTATATTGCAGTGTTTGCTTCCAAATTTATAGCATCTTCTACTTGCTCATACAATGCTAATTTGGCCATAATGCAACATTCCCCAAAGAAAAATTCCTTTGTAGAAACAAAAAATATAGTAAAGTGTCAATAAATAATATTGAGGTTAGCCATGACATTATTAAAGACTAAGATTTATGACCTCAAATCAAATAAGAGGTCTGTATACTTGTTAACTAATAATCAGTTTATGACTACTTCTAATAAAATCTATACATAATTCTCAACCACATTCTTTATGTAGATAATCTGTATAGTTATAGGAAAAACTATTCTGTATTTGAAACTATTTGGAATTGTTAAATAGATACTATCTCATGATGAATAATAAAAAAATAGCCTTGGCAAATGAATATATGAATTTTTTTTTTTATTTAATATTGTTTAATTTTAAAACATTAAACAGAAAAAAGTAAAGTTTTTTTCGTTTTTTTTTTTTTTTTCTTTCAGATAGTTTAGAACTGGAAACATTTTCACCATTTTGTATGCATGTTGCTTTGTGTCTGTGCACTGATTTTTAACTTTTTTTTTCAAAAACTGATATTTATTTGTAATCAATTTTTTGTACAAAAATCAAACAAAAATAGATGAAAATATATTTTAAATTCACAATTGGTACTCCATCTTATTAGTGTTTTAAAGAGAAAATACCTTTTGATTTGAGAAAACTTATGCTCTTGCCAAATTGTTTTTGATAATATTAAGCTTGAGTAAGCTTATCAGTATCCAATTCTTTTTGTTCTTATGATCTTAGCAAAGTATATATAACAATTGCCAAATACAAATAAATATCTTGCTTTCTTTCAAATTTAAAAGGATTTTTTCAAAACCTGTTTTTCTAAAAATCTACATAAGAGTAAATATTTTATAAGTACCATTCAAAAATTCCTTAAATTATTGGTATTAACAGTTATAATAAAAAAAGAATAAAAAATTAGCAAAACTTCTTAATATTTTGATAATAAATTTCTAAATCTTTATATCTGTATAAATGTGTCTCTTTCAAAATATATCTGATTCATCTAGAATTTACTATAAGATATTCTAAATAGGTAAATTTTGAAGGATACTTGCATTTTGCAGGATAATCCTCATCAAAAGTAGTGAAAGGATCACTTTTTTTTTTAAATCTCTTCTCAAATTTTCTCAAGATTAAAAATACATACTCCAAATGTTCATTATAAATCAGTACAAAATAAATTTTCTGCGTGTAACAGGAAAATTATCCATAAAATGGTGTAAAGCTGAAAAAAATGAGATTACAAATAAAGAATCAAGTAGTAATGAAATTGATATCAAAATCAAACCATAAAATAAACAACTGACTTTTATTCACTTTAAAATTTAAATTTTTAATAATTATCTCCCTAATCTTTTTGATGTTTGCATTAATAATTAAATAATGTCCTGCAAAATAGTAAATTTATAATTCTAGATGATTCTTGCCTACACAATTTAACCAAATGACCATTTATTATCCTGTAAGAAATACCTTAAGAATTAATGAAACAATTGAATTCTAATATGAAGATGCATAATCTAATCACAAATTTTATACCTGCTTTTAGTTCACAAGTTTTTTTAGTTCAAATTTTATAATTGCTGTTTGTTCACAAGGACAGACAGTTCATTTTATCTAAAATTATTTTTCCATTTATTTGATTTTATGATTATTAAATTATTAAATAAAGTTCTTTTCTAGGAATTACTTTAGTCTTGATCTTAATTTTTCATGTAATTATTATATTTTTCAACATAGCCATTTTATTATACAGTGTGTGGCAAAAATATATTCCAGAAATACCTCACATGTAAGTGTAAGGCATTAGCTACATGAAGACATCATTGTCATTAATCTCTTAGTATTATTTCTGCTGCACCTTTTATAAAAGACCTTGTCACCTTTTTTTTCGTTTTTTTTTGGTTCAGTCAGTAGATAAGTGAAAATTGCTGTGATTTGAACATGAAAATAAGCAAACAAATGAAATGTTCATTACACCAATGTTCTGCTGTTTAAAAATAGAATAAAATTAACTTGGAAATACTAAGTTATATTTGCAGTTTTTTTTTTTTTTAATGTTTGTAATTATTTAAACTAGTCCCTTTTTTCTTTATTATTCACTGATAATTTCTTAATTTTTTACAATTAATATTGATGTGTTAAATTCATTTAAAACAACAAAAACTAAATTTAACATTTTTGAATTTTTATTACATTTTAACAAAACAGTCATTTAAAGTTTCATTCACGGCATTCATTCTTTTCCTTAAATGCTTAAGTTTTTCTTAACTTTTATTTTCTATTAATATCTGAGTATTTCTATCATTGTTTTGATTTTTTTTTTTAATTAAATGTAAAATTAAAAAAATGCTTTACATTTCAACTTGAATGGCTCTTAATTTTTATTATATTTCAGTAGGAAGCTGATTAATTGAATTAGCCATATTTTTTTGTCGATCATGTTTGATAATGATATTGGTGTTAAGTATGAAAGATTTGAATGAATGAAATAAAAGTAAAACAATATGATGATGCACTGGAAATGCTGAAAACATGTTTTTATTAAATATATTTATGAAAAAAATTTCACTTTTGCTAGTTTCTTATTAAATACATTTTATCATTTATTTATTTCCTGCAGAAATTTTCCTCTGAAATTGTTTGAGGATAACATTTTTTGCATTAAATTATTAATAAACATAATATGATATAAAAAGTAAATTGTAAACAATCTTTTTTAAAACAAAAAAAATAATCTTATATTTAAACATATGGAATAGATGTTTATAGTAATATTAATGTTACCTCTATCTCTGACATTTCTTTTTTTCCTAAGCTATTATGGTGCAGGTCAAGAATAGGGAAAACTGACCAGTAGAGAAAAAAAACAAACTTTTGACTCATTTTAATTCAGTTATCTTTATATACAGCATAAAATAATTTTTAATCATTTAGGTTACCACAGCATAAAAGGATCACATTTCTCTTGATTATTAGCCAATATCTTGGTCATGAGAATTAGTTTTACAGAATCTTCATATCATCTGAAATATATGTTTACATTTCTAAATTATTATAGATAAAATCTGTTTATCTACATTAGTTTTCTCCTTTTTAAAATCTTGAATCATTTAGTTTTTCAATATCTTTTTGTATATGTTTGCAATGGGCCTAGAATAATTGTTTTGATTAGATTTCCAAACAACAAATTCTGTTTAGTGTAAGTTTTTTAATAAGTTGAACTTAGTAAATTAGAGTTATGTTTTACTCATAACCAGTATATTGATGAAAGGCTGCCAATATTACTCACTGGAAAAAAATGTTAAACAGTAGCATTTACACAAAGCAAAGATATTAGTGTTTGGAGTGAGAATGGATAAAAGACATGTGATAAAAAGGATGGCTTGCTTTGTGAATTAGTATCATATTTTCTACTGTTAACCAGTAGTCAGTCTTCAAGACACCAAAAAACATAACTAGAAACAGAATCATAATGGTGTTTTTTTTTGTTTTTTTTTTATCAGGTTGTTTCTTTTCATTTGAAAGATTGATTCAATACAATGTTTTTTTGTTTGTTTTTTTTAGCCTCTATTTGGCTTTTTGTTGTACAAAGCTTAGTAAATAATAACACATGTTTCAAAAGAGTTTAGCAAAATGTCACATTTGAGTATGTGGATTTGTTTCATGGAATGGTTTTCTTACATTATCCAAATGCCTATACTTATGCCAATGCCATCTAATTATTATAACTGGCCAATGTATGCCCTTTTTTCTTTTTTTTTTTTTATGAAAATATGCAAAGCCAGCTGTGAGAAATATCTTTTACTTTCATGTCAATAAATATAATTGTATATTTTAAATATCTTTATTTTTATCAGATTCCAGACACAATCTATTACTGGTTTCTGTCCTATACAAGCTAATAATTACATGAATTTTGGTATAATTGTGGAGGAGGAAATTTTATTGATAAAAAGTATCAAAGTGGTGTTTTGTATTTAATGCAAGAAATCTTATTTTTACTTTTTTTTTTCCTATTAAACCTCAATTTGGATTCATCATAGAATCATAAATACATTTTGATTTTGAAAAGACACAAAAATCTTTTCTTTTTTTTTCTACAGGATTTGATGTTGCAAAATGTTGAATGAACTCTGATGGCAACAAGTAACGTGCCCAGGCATGACTTTGCTCCAGCATGGCTTAAGATTCCTTCCCAGGATAATCTTGTAAGTAAACTATATATCTGCTTGTTTTTCTTGGAAATATTTTTGAAATATCATTGAAAAAACAGTAGGTTTAATGTTCTTTTATTCAAAATCCTTTCACAGTTGGAGTAAAATTTGATAATTTTATCTTTGTTTAAAGTAAAATTAGGGTAATTATCTAAATAAATAAAGAAATGGCAAATTATGTCTGTCTGTCCATGTGTCTGAAACCCCTCTAACTCAGACCACACTTGAATAGACATATTCCTTTTTGGAATCAAGATGTCTTTCATCTGGTGCTTGAACATCCAGCATTGAGATCTGTGTCCAGATGAGGAGGAAAAAGTTAAAAATTCAAATTTTAAAATAATTGAAAAAAATTAGTGATTTTTAATTTTTTTTTATTTATATTGAGTTTAAAATAACAGGAAAATTTTTAATTTAAAATTTTTTGTTTTAAATTCATTTTAAAATATCTCCAAAACTTTGAATTGAGGAAATCAATTTTATTTCTTCAGAATGCCAAGGAATTAGAGTTAAAGTGAGATGTTTTGTGACATGAGGTTTTGAAGTTCTACAGAGTTTGTGATTTGAAGAAATCAATTTCCGGCCTGAATTGGAATTTCAGCCCCAATTGAACTTTCGGCCCAAATTGGTCTTTTGGCCAGAATCAGTGATGTTTTGAAGTTCCATGGAGGAATTCAAAGTTATTTCTTTATAATTATTGTTGCTGTTTTCTAAGCTGGACCAGAGGTTCCTTTAGTTTTGGGATGGAGGGTCAATTAGCCCTCCTCAGATGTTAGCTTAAAAGTCTACATGGGCTGTGGCTTTTAAGCTAGTTATTAATAAGATTAAAAACCATTAAAATTGAATAAAGATTTAAGATGTCTATCTACTGTTAAAATTAAATGGACTCTTGTTAAAAGGAGAGCTTTTGAACTGTTCCATTTTAAAATGATATAGATTTTATTTATTTTAATTCATTTTCTTTCTTTATATCTTTTCTATAATCATTCTTTCCTGGTGCTAATGACCATTCTGTTTGTTCCTTTTATAATGCAATAAGTCCAATCTGTACTATGTCATATCATGCATCTTCTATTGTTACTGGGTTTCTTTTTATGTAAATTATTTGGTTTTTATTCCCTTCTCTACACTAGGTACCTCCAATTTTTTGCTAAAAAAAGCATAGCATGAATAAAAAGGGCCCTAAACTTAATAAAAACAGTTTTATCGTCAAAACATTTGTTATTATTAAAAGGAAAGACCAATACATTTTTTTTATTATTTTATTAAATTTTTAATCCTTTCTAGCATGTTCAAAATTTTGCTTAAAATCGTTTTTTTTTTTTTTTTTTTACATCGTCGGTTGATGTAATATTTACCATTAATGTTTTTGCTCTTTTTTTCTGTTGAAAAACATTGATTTGGAAATTCTTGCAAAAATTAAATAATTGTCAGATTTTAATGGAACTTTCATGACTTATTCACAAATTAATGAAATTATTTTTAGAAAATCTTTTTTTTTAACATATATTACCCCACACTTACTTTTGAGAAATTAAATTTCCTTTCCAAAAATTTTTTTATTGGTTAAAAGTAGGACTCCTTGGAGAATGTAAATCAGCCATTTACTGTTATAAATCTGCTCTGAATCATAAACTAAAAAAAAAAAAATGCAATAAAACTATGACATTATTTAATTAGAAAAGCTTTTATTTACTTTTAGATATCAAATGGACACTATTGTCTTAAGAAAAAAAATTTTCAATGAATAATGAATTTTTACAAGAATTGTTTTCATTTTTTAAAATATTAATTATAATAATTTAAAAATCATTTAAGATTCTGCATTACTTCCTTTCTTTTAGGTGATATTGTAATTAAGTGGAAACTCTGTTTACAAATCAAAAATTGAAAAGCTTAATAAAAGTTGTTTACCACCAATATTTTTTAAGTAATTTTCAATTTTTTTTTTTTTTTTTTTCTTAGTTTAAACATTACCATTTTTCTATCTATGGTCATTTATACATGGCATTATTATTAAAAGATTATGTGTTGTAAATATTGTCCTCCCTTTACTGAGAAATTCGCTTGTCTGCAATTCATTGCATGTTTACATCTCAACAGGCTTTGAACATCATTCCTTCAAAGTTTTGCTGAAAATATTACGTTAATTTGTAAAAATTACTACGTAGTTAAAAACCCCAAAAATGCATTCACTTAGATTTTGTGAATTTATGTCAATTCTTGTCATCCATATTGTCAACACATTTTAGCTCATCAATAAGATCAATCAGCACATCAGAAAAACTAGACATATGGTTAAGAAATGCTTGTATACTACATTTTTTTATGGTAACTAACATTTGTTTCAAATCAGATTAATTTAACATTAAATTTTCCATTTTTTTCCCCTAAATAACCTGTCACAAATATAATATATATATATATATTATTTTTGGAAGATTTTTAAAACCGATAATTAAATTTTGTTTACAAATGTGTTAAAATCTGAGAAAATGGCACTTGTAATTAATTCTGTGAAGGTGAGCTAAAATTTGACATTACAATCTATATCATTTTTTTTAGTTTGCTTACTGGAAATAGTAAATTTAATCATTTCACTTTCAATTAAAGCTAAAATGAAATCTTCAAGAATTCTTTTTCATTTTTAAAAAATTGTTAGGTATCAAAAATTCAGTGGAGGTGCCTACAAAATAGGTACCTCCACTTTTTCATGGAAAACGGCTTAGCATAATGAAAAAGGCCACAAACTTAATAAAAATAAATTTTTATCATCAAAATGTTAAGATGAAAGACTAAAATTTTTTTTTTTTTTTTTTTTTTTTTTTAATCCTTTCTAACACTGTTGAAATTTTGGTTAAAATCTTGTTTTGTTTACATCATCCAGATGGTATAATAATAACATTGACTTTTTTCATTGAAAACGCATTGATTTGGAAATTCTTGCAAAAATCAAATAATTGTCCAATTTTAATGAAATTTTCAGGACTTATTCACAAATGAATGAAGTTATTTTTTTTTTTTTTACATGTTACCCCTACTTACTTAATTTCATGAAATTTTGCAAAATGCCTTTTTTCTTTTCTTTTTTTATTTAAAAGTAGGACTTTTTTTTTTTTTCAAACTTTCACTATTCTAACTGAAAATCAGCTCTTAATTGAAAAATAAAAAATAAGCAATAAAACTATGGCATCATTTAATTAGAAAAGCTTTTAATTGCTTTTGTAGATAAGTTATATTAAGGGTACTATTGTCTGAAGAAATAAAATTTTTCTGATGAATATTGAATTTTTGCAAGAATTTTTTCATTTTTTAAAATTTTAATTATAATAATTTATAATAGTTCAAAATTGTGTAGAATTCTGTATTGGGCTATTTCCTGGACGTGATATAGTAATTAAGTGGAAACAAAATTTATGAATCCAAAATTGAAAAGATTAGTAAGCATAGTTTTACTATTCTATTTTTAAAATATTTTTTTATTATTTTACTTAATTCCTTCCCTTTTTTTCATCTATGGAAGGCTAAACCTTACATTATTATGAAAAAATCACATGATCTAAGAGTTTTGTCCCTCTACAGAGAAATTAATTTAAGAAAATTTTATAGTATTTTGAAATTTTTTATTTTTGTATAAAGCATCTTCGAAAGCTAAGTAAAAGTTGATAAAATATTAAATAACTGTGGAAAATATGTTTATTTGTAAGAATTACTAGATAGTTAAAAAACAAAAAAAATGCGTTCACTTAGATTTCATAAATTTATGTGAATTCTGGTCATTCATAACGCCTGTCATCACTTCAAAAACTTACTGTTACTTCAATAAAGATCAAAGAAAGATAGGACCCATCATTAAAAAATGATTGTATATTACTTTTTATGCTATAAGTAAGTAATATTTATTTCAAATCCGATTAATTTAACTTTAAATTTTGTATACTCAAATAACGTTTCAGAAACAAATATATATATATATATATATATATATGTGTGTATATATATATATATATATATATATATATTTTGTTTTGTTTTGTTTACAAATTTCTTAAAATTAAGAAAATGATCGCTTTTAAGAAAATTTAAAAAAATTGAGCAAACATTTGACATTCCAATCTGTATAATTTCTATCCGAAATACACCAGAATATTTTACTTACTGGAAATAATAAATTTAATCCTTTAGCTTTTAAAGCTAAAATTAAATCTTCAAGAATGTTTTTCATTTTTAAAGATTCATTCTAAACCTTAGGTATCAAAAATTTATGCTGAAAAGTGGCAGTACCTACTACTAACTCATTACAATTGAGCCATGTGTTTACTATATGTAAGTCACATGCTAGGCAACTTTTTTTTTTATCTTGTGATTTACATTGTTATTTACTGCTATCGTGAAAACAGATTAACAGCTTATCCATCAACAGAAATGTAACACTTAAATAGCAGGTTTCTGCAAAGTAATATATCTCTTACATGCTGTCCAAGTAGATAATCAGGTTAGTCTTTCAAGTTGAGAGAGGGTGGAGAATTCTACTGAATGAAGTGATTAGTGTCTCCTGATATATATTATTCTGCTTTTTATTTATTGTTATGGGCAGATCCCTTTAGCCTATATGTGTCTTTGATATTAGATTAGAAATGAAGTGGATATGACTTCATTCTGTAAAAGGTTATCATCTTAAATTTAAAAAGAGTGTTTTATTGTAGTTTCATGTTTATTAATTTGGATATACAAAGTTGGCAGAAAATTTAACCCTTTACTGAAAATGTATCCTATGGTACTTTTTGAAAATTCTCATTTTTATTATTAATTTTATGACTATTTTTTATTTAATTTTATTTTTGTTCGTTTTTTTTTATCATCACTCTCAGGTTGTTTTTACATTCTACAATTATTAAGTAAGCAGCATGGATGGGAAATTTAGAATTACCTGTCTGATCAGAACAGTGCTTTACCAATTAGACTAAAAATGGAAATGGTAATATTAGTTGTTT